AGCTATAAAATGTTAAGTACTTTCAGGCATGAAACTCTTTGGGGAATACAGAGGGAGCTTGTTGTTTAACAAGTACCTACAAGAATTCTTTGTACTTACTTTGTGGACCTCCCATACAATGGGACATAGACTAAAGCATAAGAAGGTTCTGGGATAATAGAAGCAGTAAGAGTCACTAGAAGCCTATTGAGTGGCCTTAGCAAACCTCTGCTAGCTCTGCTGAGGCCTGACAGACTCTGATTCCAGTTTTGCCACTGAAGACTCACATTGCCAGGTTAAGGTTGGAGTGAGGTTTTGACTGGAGAAAGGGTAGAGGAGAACTTAGTTTGGGAATGAGGCTTAGTAAGAAGGATTCTGTTTTTGGACCAAAGGACATTGCGTACCTATCATAAACAGGGAGGGAAGACATCACTCACTATACAGGACCTATAAAAACCTTGTAGAAGAGTGAAATTAAAAAGAAAGTGTGTGTCTTACAATTTTGATGGAGTAAATCCAAAACAGAAATTCTCAATTTGGGAACTACTGACATTTTGAGTCATGTAACTGGGGAGTTCCTTGCCACATATCCTGTGCAGAGTGAAGATTAGTGATTCATTTGAGCAGTCATGAGAGCAAAGTGTTGAGGAGAAATGACTCCAGGCAAATCAGTTCCTTCCTCTAGAAGATATCTAGGCTAAGAAAAGTATTATCGGATGTTTAGCAGCAACCCTGATCTCCCACTGTCAGATGCCGGTAGCAACAATCCCTTCTCAGATGTGACAGTCAAAATTGTCCCCAGACATTGTCACAAACTACTGGCAAGTGGGAAGCCAAAACTGCCAATACTGCCTTATTTGATAACTATTATCTTAAATGATCAGTGTACTTCCTTTATACTCCTCCATCCTTCCCATTCTCCTGCCTCTACCCTAAAGATCTGCAGGACAGTAGGAGGATGACAAGTGAATCAACTCAAAAGAAGAGTTGAAATTCTCTTTCTTATTAAAATAATCAGAACAGAGTGATAAGTACCAGGAAGATTTAAAATAAATGCATCTTCACACAGATGTTTATTCTTGGATGTTCCCAATAATATTCCTGATTCTCTTTTTCTTGAGATGTTTCACGCATTGTTCATCACATAAGACCAATTTTCAAGAAAAGATGCACAGTAGAACTCAAAGAGTTTTACCAGCTTGACTAATGCTTATGTAAGTGAAATAAGAAAGCCAATCATTCAGATAAGTTATCAAGAAAGCCATATGCATAAAATTAGGTTACTTTTATAAAGACCTTGAGGATTGGGCTTCAAATATACTGGTTCGTAAATTAGACTCTTTCCCCCTCCCCTCCCCTCCCCTCCCTCCTCCTCTCCTCCCTTCCCCTCCTTTCCCTTCCCTTCCTTCCCTTCCCTTTTCTTCCTTCTTTTTCCTTGTAGCTATACTCAATCAGTCTTATAAAAGGACAGAAAAGACTGCTGGAAGGAGAGACACTGTGAAATAGTAATTAGGAAAAATCTAGTATCCTTACTGGAAGGAAGTTATATTAAGTTTATAAAAGTATAAACTGCTGCACTGTTTGTGAAAACAGCACAATTGAGTCATTGGTGTAACTCTGTGATAGAATCAGAGGCCCAGAACATGGTGATCTACATGTCTTCTGGTAATTTCTGATTTAGGATTACTATTACAAGATTTGTACAAAAATTCTTTTTGCAATTGAAACTAATGAAGTGAAATCTATAAGAACGGTAATTTAATTACTGTATATTGGAAATTCAAAAATAATGTATTTGCATTTTAAATATGAAAATCTGACTTTATTGATTGTTGTATGATTAGTGAATATAACAAAAGCTAAGGATAAGGGGACTTATTTTCTGGTCCATTTTGTCTCTCACTACCAGTAGAACTATGTTTAAGGCAATGAGCCTCAGTTTCCTCATTTAAAAAAAAGTAAGGAAATACAGGTAGATTGTCTTTAACTCTTCTATTCCCCAAACTTTATAAACATCAGGAAAATCTAATTAAAATTACATGAAACAGAAACCGAAAAAAAAAAAAAAAAGAAAGAAAGAAAGTGCAATTCTACCAACTACAGAATGTGATTACATAATTTCAACACCAGGGCTATAGGGTTATACAAACAAAAGAAGTCTTGTTTTATTGACCAGGATTCTTGATTATAAAGTAATGGGTATCACTCTTGGAATCTTCTTTAAATTAGATGGGTCATGATTAATTTTTAGTTTCAATAAATAATCTTGAAAGTATGCTAGATACAGACTTGAGAGTGTCAATGACAGAGGGCTACCCAACTGGAGTAAGTGGCAGGGGTACAAAACACATTTGGAACCTCAATTTATACATGAAAAAGAAAACTTTAGAATTTGGCCATATGCATCATGGACTGGCTCTGCAGTAATGTCTTGGCATTTTTTTCTATATGGTCCTTTACTGCAAGTATGTGAGTGACTGTTACTAAAATTCAGAGAAAATAAATATAATCTTTACCAGAGAAATAAAGCCTTCCTCTGGTCTTATGGGAACTCTTAAAAGGTGCCTTCAGTCACCTTTAGATGTAACAGTATAACATCTTTGTTCTCAATTTTATGATTCTACGATATAAAATGTTATAGTATAACTAAGGTGCCTTCAGTCACAAGGTAAACTCTCATGAAAGAAGTCATTGCTTTGAGCCTTTTGTACAGAGGCTAACATCAAAGTGCAAGGGGGAGGGGTGCTGGACTGCCTTAACATAAAGATTTTGATAATGCTCATCTGACCTGGGTCTAAGAAATCTAGTAAAATCTACTCATATTCCAGCAAAAATCCAAATTTGGGGTACAGATATGAATTCTCAAATTTGTAGACCTAGCCATGGTAGATAGGAAATTTAAGGGCAAAAACCCCTTTTTCTCTTTAAGTGGGAGCAAAGACATAATTATGCTAGTTGGAAATGCCTGTGCCTCATTAAGGAAATGTATTCCTCATCATCTGCCAGATTTTGAAGTTCTTGGCTAGGGTACAAAAACCATAGCCTGAACAGCCTTTCACAAAATAATTTCAGGTTTCCTCTGCACTCCTATTCCTACAAAAGGATACTTCCTTTCTGTCACTAGATATATTGGAATCCTCATAAAAATTCTCCCTAAGAGGTCAAAAACATACAGCATTTTGTGGGATTTTACTTGGAAGAAGGATGCAGTAAAAGAGGTAACACCAAAGCACAAATATTACTAAGTTTATCTTAGTATTCTTATTAACAACTGAATTGGAATTCAGGCTTATTAATATTATCAATTGTTATGGTTTAGATCTGGGGTGTCCCTCACAGCCTCATGTGCTTGGGAGGTGACTGGATCCTAAGGCACTGTACTCATTGGTGAATTGGTCCACACATGAGTTCAGCAGCTGATATGCTGGTAGGAGTGGGTACAGGACAGAAGATGTGGGTTACTGCTGGTGCAACATTCAAGGGGGTATCAACCCCTCAGTCTCTTCTGTTCTCTCCTCACTTCCTGGTCACCATGATGTGAGCAGCTTTGCCCCACTGCAGGCCTTCCACTGTGCAGTGTCTGCATTTGAGCCCACCATTCATGTCTGAAACTTCTCGAATGTGAGGCAAAGTAAACCTCTCCTCCTTTACATTGTGGGTGTTAGGTCTTTTGTCCAGGAACAAAAAAGTAACAGAGATATCAATCTCATAATAAACTGGTGCACTTTATTCTATATATATACACATATATATAATATACTATATTCTTATATTATTATGTTGAAAAACATTTTTAAGTCACTCTGCCACTCAACATGATTAAATTTTGTCTAAAGAAAAAGTGAAGAATTGTTCCCATACTGTGGAAATGCATAAGATAAATTTTAAAAGTAGAAACGTTAATTCATTAGCATCTACATTAAATTGATTTTCTACTTGCAAGATATGCCCCATAGATTGGGAAATCACTTTCATTATTTTCTATTCCTATTATTTTTCATAAGCACTATATTTGAACCTAAAAGAAAACCATTCCTTATAACTCTTACAAGAAGAATATCAAATTATCAAATAATACACAGTATGGATACTAACACAAGCACATAAAGTGGCACCTTTTTTATAGATTTGTACTTTTACTAGGGAGCCTTACAGAGGTTCATCCTCTGCAGACATCTTTTAATGTCCACCTGACAAAAGATTATAAAATCAAAGGAAGAAAGAGTAAAAAGTGTAACAGTATAACATCTTTGTTCTCAATTTTATGATTCTACGATATAAAATGTTTTTATCTATTTTCTACTTCAAAACAGAAATCCAAAGGAATGTGCTGCTTCACACTCGCATTTCTTCAAATCTCATAGTCATCTACCTACTTTGATAGCACCATTTTCATGTTCAATATAAATTAGAAGGTCACAGAATTTGAAGAGAATAGGCTGCATTATCCTAGGACCAACTTCAAAGATAACCAAGTCTCTTGGTACCCTTCCGCAAAACTTGGGTGATACTGAAAGGAGTGGTATCTCACAAAATAAAATTAAGTGTTCAACTGCACTTTGCCAAAGTGTGAAGAAGTTCAGTTCTCTGTATCAGTCTCATTTCCTGGACATCCAAGAATGTATTTCTGAAAAAAGTACGTTACTTATATGACTTCCTCTGCTAAAAAACCCATTGTCACAAAACACAAGTACTGTTCTGTTTCTCATATTGGCTTTTGTAAATCATACAAGATTTGAACATAAGTACTTTTAACAATAAATTTAATATACTATAAGATTGGCTCTTTAGTTTTCCTTGTCTTCCAAACAATGATTCTCAAATATATCAAGTATAATCAAGTATTCTTTTCTTTACAACAGGTTCAAAATTAACCATCAAGAAGACATGCTTTCAATTTTTTTTTTTGGGGGGGGATGGAGTAGTTGTGGCACACATATTAGAAAATTAAGATTAAAAGAAACATTAAAAGTAAAATTAAAGCATAGAAATATTTTCTTTGATGAAGAGCCACCATTTACCTGTACATGAGTAGTCATCAATTCTGATGTATCCAGTTTTGCAGATGCACATGAAGGAACCCGGGGTGTTGACACACATGGTATTCTCACGACAGTAATGGCGGCCTTCAGCACATTCATCAATGTCTGTGAAGAGAAAGTAGAGCAAAGAGGTTCATAGGAGGAGCTAACATACTAAAATTTCCAAACTTTATCGTAGTGTACAGAGCTCTTCTTCATTTAGTTTTTACTTTTCAGTTGCACATCCTCTGGTCTTTTTCCCTTCTTCCCATTCAATGCTCTCTGAGCTTCTGATCATTCCTTGAATGGGTCATATTCTTTCATATTTATGCATCTCTACATATGCTGTTTCCCTTCTCATAGCTGCTACTCCTCTCCTGACTTTACTCTATGAGACCTTGTCTACCAGTGCACTGATTTATCTTTCAAGAATCTATTTTTAAGCCCTTCTCCTGTGAAAACTTCCTATTGAACTACGAGTTTCTCTATGTAGTGCTCACTAGGGACTGTGAAAGTGTTTCCATTATTGGTGCATTAATTATATTTTATTAATTTTTAAAATTTCTTTCTCCTCAACAAACTACATAATATTCTACAAGGTTAAAAAATAACTTACTGTATCTCTTTCTCTCTTTCTCTCTGTCTCTGTCTGTCTGTCTGTCTTTCTCTCTCTCTTAATACTGATGATTGAATACAGGGCCCTAAACATAGTAGACAAGTGCTCTGAGATACATTTACAACCTCCTTATTAGTATTTCTGAAATTTAGCTGTCTATAATACTAATCTGGAGTGGTTCTTAGCTAGAAAAACATTCTAAATTTTATTTTAAAAGAATCACAGAAGTCTCTGAGTATTCAGCCATCTTGCACAAAAAGAACAATGAAGAAAGCATTACACTATCTGATTTCAAAACAAACTACAAACCATAGTAATCAAAACAGCATGGTAGTGACACTAAAGACAAATATATCAATGGAAGAGAATATGGTGCCTAGTAATAAACCCATGCTTCTACAACCAAATGATTTTCAAAAAAATGCTAAGAAGGCACATTGGAAAATAAGATAATCTTTTTAAAAAAAGATACTGGATGAATTGGCTATACACATGTAGAAGAATAAAACTACAGGGCTATTCTTACCAGTTATCAAAAATCACTTTAAATGGATTAAAAACTTAAATGTAATAGAAAACTTCCAGAATGAAACAGGGTAAACACTTAAAGATATTGGTACAGGATGTGATTTTGTAGGTAAGACTACGAAAGCTCAGGAAACAAATAAAGCTAACATGGACCAGTTGAGTCAAATCCAACTAAAGAGCTTATTCAGAGCAGACTAAATAATCAGCGTACTACCAGAGACAACCTCCAGAAAAGAAGAAAATATTTGTAAACTATTCACCTAATGGGTGGGAAAATCAGAATCTACAAAGAACTTCAAAAATTCAACAGCAAAACAATTAAAAAAGGTAATAGGTATCAGTAGACATTTCTCAAAATAAGTAGATAAATGGCCAATAGGTACATGAAAAAATGATCAACTTCACAATGAGCAAACCTAACCCTAATAAGAAGAGATATTATCAAAAAAAGACTAAAGATTTTTTTAAAAGTACAGATAACGGATTTGGCAAAAGTGTAACCTTCCATACTCTTAAAGAGAACAAAATATTATAACTCATTATGGAAAACAATCGGAAAGCACCTCAAAAGTTAAAAATAGAAGTACCTTATAACTGAGCAATCTCACTTCAAGTATAAAGGGAATAAAATTAATATGTTAAGTATATTTGCATTCACACATTCATTGTAGCACGTAAACAAGAAATAAAAATTAACCTGAGTCCATCAACTGATAGATAAAAATAATATGCATAGTATATGTTTATAACATTATTTAACTATTTTTTATTTTAAAAAAACATTAAGATAAAAGAGGACATAACAACACAGGTCAGAACAGAACAATTTAAGCAATATAGTGTTTCACCACAAGACAATCCGACATAACAGTAACTATTATTAGTGTTTCTTCGCTTGAAATATTTGAGTATACCTTCATATACTATAGTATCAAACATAACAAGATAGTATAAAAACATTCAAGAAAATGAAATTATTACAGGGCATTCAGAACCAACTAATAGAAAACAAACAATGGTTACTATATTATCTCCATGTTCATAAAAATTTTTGTTTATACTATCACATATAACAAAATCCAATAAGATACAACATGATAAAACTGATGGAGATAGAAGAACAAAAGCTTGGTGGGACTTCAAAACAAGATGATATTAAATCAGCACTAGCTATTATAATGTCTTGTTTTCTTCAAAATAGTTGTTCATACAATCACAGATGATAAAGATCAAGCAACCCAGAATAAAACCATTTCAACTAATGAATGAAAATATTATAAGACTTTAAAGCAATATAATGTGGAATCATGATTGCCACATACTTTTATGTATTCTTACCATTTCTTACACTAGGGAAACTATTCGGTATTTATACATGTGAGTTTGATTTATTTCACTTATGAGTATGGTCTCAAGCTGCATCCATTTATTTATAAATATCTCAATGTGATCATTCTTTATAGCTGACCAGTACTCCATTGTATAAAAATACCACAGCTTTTGTATCCATTCCTCAGTTGATGGACACTTAGGTTGTATCCAAGATCTGGCTATTACAAATTGTGCTGCTATAAACATGGGTGCACATATATCACTGTGGTATGATGTTATCAGTTCTTCTGGGAATATGCCTTAAAAAGGAATAGCTAGAACAAATGGGACTGACCTCCACAATAGTTGCACCAGTCTACACTCCCACCAACAGTGCAGGAGAGTTCCTTTCCCCCACAGCCTCTCCAGCATTTGTTGTTGGTAGTTTTTTTGACCCTGGCCATTCTTTCAGGAGAGAGATGGAATCTCAGTGTGGTTTTTATTTGCATTTCTCTAATGAGTAATAGTGATGAACATTTTTTCATGTATTTATTTGCCATTTGTATTTTTTCATCTGAAATTGTATATTCATCTCAGATGCCCATTTTTGGATTGGATCTTTGAATTTTAGTGTTATGATTTTTTTTAATTCTTTATATGTTTTAGACAGAAGTTCTTTGTCTAAGGGATAGGTCACTAAGATTTTTTTCCCAGTTTGTGGGTTTTCTTTTCACTATGCTGGAGATTTCTTTTGACGTGCAGAAACTTTTTAATAAGACGTGATCCCAGTTATTGATTCTGGGAAGTATTTCCCATGTGGTTTGAGTCCTGTTCATGAGTTCTCTACCTACCCCTATGTCTTCAAGGTATCTACCCAATTTGTCTTCCAATAGATTTAGTGTTTCTGTTTTAATATTCAGATCTTTGATCCATTTAGATTTTAATTTAGTACATGGTGATAGGCATGGGTCTAGTTTTAGTTTTTGGCATATGGAGAGCCAGTTTTCCTAACACCATTTATTAAAGAGACTGTCTTTCGTCCAATGAACATGTTTGGCCCTTTTATCAAAGGTAAGGTGGTTGAGTGTGTTTGCAGTTGTGGTTGTATCTTCTAATCTATTCCATTGATCTCGGCTCTGTTTTGATTCCAGTACCATGTTGATTTTACTACTGTTCCTTTGTAGTATAACTTCTAGTCAGGGATTGTGATGTCTCCTGCCTTGCCTTCCCTGCTTAGAACTGTCTTTGCTATTCTAGGTCTCTTCTCTCTCCAGATGAATTTTAGGAGTGATTTCTCTAGATCTATGAGATATGTTGATGGTATTTTTATTGGGATTGCATTGAATCTGTATAACAGCTTTGGGAGAATGGCCATTTTCACAATATTTATTCTTTCTATCCATGAGCAAGGGATGTATTTCCACTTTCTGAGATACTCTTCAATTTCTTTTTTCAATGTATTATAATTTTCTTTGTATAGATTTTTCACTTCTTTTGTGAGAGTAATTTCTAAATTTTTCATTTTTTTGGTTGCTAGTGTGAAGGGTGTGGCTTCTCTTATTTCTCTCTTTGTAATTTTGTTGTTACTGTATTGGAATGCTACTGATTTTTGAGTATTGGTTTTTGTATCCAGCTACATTGCTGAATTTATTTATTATATCTAGGAGTCTTTCAATGGAGTTGTGGGGGTCTTCTATGTAGAGTATCATGTCATCCACAAACAATGATAATTTAACATCCTCTCTTCCTATCTTTACCCCTTTTATTTCTCTCTTTTGTCTAATTGCTCTGGTTAGTATTTCTAGTACTATCTTAGATAGGAGTGGTGATAAGGGACATCCTGGTCCTGTACCTGATTTTAAGGTAAAGGCCTTCAGTTTTGGGCCTTTTATTATGATACTGGCTGTTGGTTTGTCATAGATGGCCTTTATCATATTGAGGTAAAGACCATCTATTCCAATTTTCTGTAAGGTTCTTATCAGAAATGCATGTTGGGCCTTATCAAAAACTTTTTCTGCATCTATAGAAATGACCATGTGATTCTTACTTTTGGCTGTATTGATATGTGGATTACATTTATTGACTTATGTATGCTGAACCATCCCTGCATACCTGGGATGACTCCCACTTGGTCATGGTGTATACTCTTCTTGATGATTTGCTGCATCCTATTTGCCAATATTTTATTGAGGATTTTTGCATCTGTGTTCATTAGGGAGATTGGCCTGTAGTTTCTCTTTTTTAGTTGGGTCTTTCTCAGGTTTTGGTACTAGAGTAATATTTGCTTCCAGGATGTCCTCCCTTTCAGTTTCATTGTAAAGTTTGAGGAATGTCAGCATTAAGTCTTCTTTGTATTTCTTGTAGAATTCTGCAGGTGAATCCGTCTGGTCCTGGGCTCTCCTTTGTAGGCAAGGACTTTATAGCATTTTCAATTTCATTAATAACAATTGATTTATTCACTAGTTTTATATCTTCTTGACCTAGCTTTGGTACTTCATATTTCTCTAGGAATCTATTTTTTCTGTGTTATCAAATCTGTGAGAGTAGAGGTTTTCAAAATAGGTGTTGATGATCTTCTGTATTTCTACTCAGTCTGTAGTGATTTCACCTTTTTAATTCCTTATTGCATGAATTTGAGCTTTTTCTTCCCTTCTTAAAATAAGATTGGCTA